CGCTGCCGCCTGTTGACGCCTGCTCACAGGCCACCGCCAGCTGGTGTGCGGTAGCATGTGGAGGGCCCTACCGGCTGACCTCGCTGGCAGCCCAGGCCACCCCCCCCAGTCCCCCCACCCCCACCGTGAAGTCGTGCAGCTCCACCAGCCCCGCCCACTCGCTGTCCCTGAACCCGCACTTGGCCAGGATGCGGCTCAGCTGCTCCTCCAGCAGCTGCAGGGGGCGGCGGTGGGCGGCGGGCAGTGGCAGCCAGAATCACGAGAAAAGCATGGGCTGGGTGGGTGGCACAAGCGGCAGCCAGTCCAAGGTCAGCTGGGAGAGGCCCTCACGCTACCAGCACACCAGCTGGCGGTGGCCTGTGAGCAGGCGTCAACAGGCGGCAGCGGCCGAGTGCCGCCTCTCACCTCCGCCCCGGCGCCCTCCCGATGCATGCGGCACCACTCCTCGCGCATGACCCTCAGCAGCGCGGGCCGCTGGCTGGCCTCGTAGCCGGGCAGCGCTTTCTTCAAGCCATCGTAGAGCAGCGGTCCCACGGCCCTGATCAGCTCAGCCGCAAAGGCCTCCAGGCCAGCCCGGACGGGCGCCCAGCGGCGCACCCGCTCCTCACGAGGCCCCCCGCCCTCCTGCTCCACCACCTCCTCCTCCAGCCTCTGCAGACCGGCGGCATGGTCAAAAGCCAGCTTGTGCCCCGATGGCAGCCGCAACCTCGCCCAGCTGGACTTGCAACGCTGGCGCCCCTGCGCCCCTGCACACACATGGCCGCACTCACCATCAGGGAGGCCAGGCGCTGGCTGAGTGGCGCCGCCAGCAGCTCCAGCCGCAGCTCCCGCCACAGCAGCGGCAGGTTGGCCGCCACGAACTCCAGGGCGGTGCCAAGCGCCCCGTTGGCGGCGGTCCTGCACAGCCGATGGCATGGCAAGAGCGGGGGGGAGCCGAACAGGCACCGAGGCCACAGGTTGGCGGGCCGGTGGCACCAGCATGTACACAAGCCGTGGCCGGTTGCCGACCTCTCAGAGCAGCCAAACACAGAGGAGCCGACAGCCAAGCACCCACAGACCACACGATGCGTGGCCCAGCGCTGCCGCCCTGCTTACTGCATGGCTCGGCTGTCGGCGCGCAGCTCCCCCGCCGCCTCCTGGGGCCTGAGCAGGTTGGACACCAGCGGTCCGGCACCCTGCGGCGAGCTCAGCGCCAGCAGCGCCCTCATGCCGGCGGTGGGTGCTGCCATCAGGAGCGCCTTGGCGGCGCGCCACAGCGCGGCAGCCAGGTCGTCGGGGGCGCCCGCCATGAAGTGGATGCCTGAAGACATCAGCTGCAGTCGGAGCGCGGCGAAGCAAAGGCAGGAAGGGAAGGAGTGGTCCCGCGTGTGCAGGCACGCCTGGGCACGGCGCCAGTGGTGGCAGTATGCCCGGCTCGCCCGAAAGAAGCTGGCTGTCCACTGTGGTGCAGCGTGCTGGGAGACGCCAAGGCTGCCCTCGCTCGCCTGCGACAGCAGCGCCTCGATGCAGCAGTGGGCGGTGGTGGCGGTGCTGCTGCCGACTGCCAGCAGCTCATCCTCCAGAAAAGCGCCCACGTCTGGCTCCGCCGCCAGCGCTTCCATGGCGGTTAGTAGCTCGAGGTAGAGGTGTGGAGGTGGGCGTTGCGCGGCCGGGGCGGCTGCTGCGGCTGCCGTCACCTCGGTATCCACCTGCAGCGAGGACCGCAGAGCTTGGTCAAGCGCTAAAGCAGCTGGAGCTCATTGGCTGAGGGCAGGGCTGCAAAGGGTACAGCAGCAGCGCAGCGCTCACCCGCTGGAGGCTGCTTGCCAAGCTGCGCAGAAGGGACAGTGCGCTGGTCTCCAGCAGCTGGAGCTGAGCCTCGCTAACATTTTCCCAGCGGCTGACTCCGTGCAGCTGCTCCAACAGCGCCTTGGCCTGACTCAGGCGGGCACTAGCAGCAGAGTGCAGGCCTGCAGACGGGCAGGGACGCTGCCTCAGCTGCCTGAGCGCCTGCATGGTTTGAAGCAGAGAGCCTGGGCGCTGGCTGTAGCAGCTTTGAACAGGCCACACCAAATGCTCCCCCAGGTCTGTGGCGGATTCTGACAGAGCCACAGCGAGTCAGTGAAGCGCCCCTGAGCAGTTGGTGGCGGCCGTCCCGCAACGGTGTATTGCCGGCCTCATGCAAGGTTGCAACTGATCAAGACCACCTGCTTCTGCATATCTGTCGGGTCGACTTACACGCGCTGGCAAGGTATGGAAGGACAGTGCGGCAGTATTTGATTGCAGAATGCCGTTTGTTCGGCGGTGAAACCGAGAAGTGTAGGCGGGGTTCAGCCAGGGTTCGGAGGAGCGAGGGAGGGAGAAGTTTTGAGCAGGTAGAGAATGGGCAGGCGCATGCAGCTGCCGCCTGGTTGGCACAGACTGCAAAGAGCTGGCCGACCAGCAGGCCTGCATGCGCCGACAAATGAAATTAAGAAGCTCGCTCGAAGGGGGCGGGCAATACGAGCCGAGCAGATGACCAAAAGGCATGGCGAGGGCAAGCCATGAGCTGAACTGCTGGGCCACAGCGAGGCAGCGGCAGTGCTGCTTCCCCACTGGGCCCAGGCTGTGTGCAAAGTCAGTGTTCTATGGACGGCAGGAAAAACTCCAAGCGCAGGCAGGAAAGGGACAGCGAGTGGCGCAACCTGTGCAACTGGCGGAGCAGGGGAGAGCCAGAAATGGGAGCAGCAAAATGCGCTGCGCATGCTGAGCGTGATTTGAGGCGGGTGGGCGAGGGATTGCGGCCCGAGAGCACCAGCGCGCCTCGCAGGCGGCGCAGCTGGCTGGGCACCGAGCGGGCATCCACAGCGCTGCTGCGGCTGACGGTCGCAGGGCATGCAGTGCTCAGTCGAACACCTTCTCGCCAGTGGCAAACAGGTTCCACACCACGGTGCCCACCAGGTACAGCGCCACCGCCACGCCCCACACCTGGACGCAGCAGGCAGGCAGGCAGGCAGGCAGGGCGCACAGAGCAGTCAGCGCGGGAGGGGAGAAAGGGGGCGTGCCCCAGGTAAAGCAAGCTTTGGCAAGCGCAACGCCCTGCCCCACCAATGTGCACTGCCCCCTCCCGTCCCGTCCCTGCACCCGCTACCCCGCCAGGCGCACCTGCTTCCAGGATCCGGTCTGCAGGATGAAGCCGGTGGCGGCGGTGCCCAGCACGCCCGCCAGCACGCCCGCCGTGTTGCTCAGCCCCAGCAGCACGCCCGCGTACCGCGGCCCGATGTCGGCGTGGTTGCTGTACAGGCCGGACTGGGAGAAGGCGTCCAGGCCCTGCGACGCCATCATGCACGCCACCGCGCCGCTCACAGAGGTGATGTTGCCCAGCTGGGTCAGGAAGAAGGCGGGGCCGAGGAAGCCAATCTGCAGGGGAGCGGGAGGCGGCGGGGGGTTGAAGAGGGCGCGCGTCAAGAGGTGACGAGAAGCAGCGAGGTGGAGGCCCCCGCTTGGCCGCGGCACCGGCCGGCAGGGCTGGTGCGGCTGGCAGCGCTGCTGCCAACGCGGGCCCCCTTCCTGCGCACCGTCTGCATGATCTTGCGCACAGAGGTGACGCTCCAGCCGCGCTCCACCAGCGTGTCTGCGATCCAGCCGCCCACGTTGGCGGAGATGGCCATAGTGACCCAGGGCAGCACCGAGAAGAAGCCGCTGCTCTTCAGGTCCAGGCCCAGCACCTGCCCAGGACCAGGGAGCGGCGCAGGCGGGGGAGGGAGCAGGGCGCAAGAGCTGGTCAGCTGGCCCGCCGCAATGCCAGCTGCCCAGGCAAGAGGAGCGCAGAGGAGCACAGCGCTGCCTGCAGGCACCTCCCAGCGGAGCAGAGAACTGTTCACGCCCTGCTCCCCCCTCCCCTCCTGCCGCACTCCACCAAGCTCTGCCCTCCTGCCGCACTCCACCAAGCTGTGCGCCTCCTGGGCCCCAGGGCGCGCCCCCCGCACACACCTGGTTGTAGTAGGTTGGCATCCAGGTGAGCAGGATGAAGGTGCCCCAGTTGTGGCAGAAGTGGCACACAATCAGCGCCCAGGTGGCGGGCTTGCTGAGCAGCAGGCGCCAGGGGATGGAGGTCAGCGGCTGCGCCGACGCTGTGTTGCGCGTGATGTAGCGCAGCTCAGCCTGCAGGGACAGTGGGGTGGCGGGCGCCGGCAGCCGTTGTGGGAGCGCAACAGCCAGAGCAGCAACTGGGGAGGGTGCAAGGAAAGCAGCAGCGGGGCGCCAGCCGGCGACCCCCCCCCACACACACGCGCCAGCCCTCCCCCAACGGGCGCAGCCCCGCCACACACTCGGGCCCCCCCAGGGCCGCACCTCGTCGATGGCGGGGTCGTCCTGGGGGGAGGCGGCGGCGTGGCGGTCCCACCACGCATACCAGGCCAGCCCCGCGGCGCCAAAGACGTAAAAGACGGAGGACCAGCCCCAGCTGGCAATCATCTGCGGGGACAGCGCCAGCCCCAGCATGCTGCCCGTGTACATACCGCTGTAGACCAGCGACAGCGAGCGGCTGCGCTCCTTGATCGGCACCCACCTGCGGCGGCAGGCGGGCAGGCGGCGGCGGCGGCCGAGGTCGGGGCGCGGCGTGCGGGGCGCAGAGGCGCTGGCTGCGTGCATGCCACGCTTTCCCCAGCGCTGCAGCCAGCCGGCATCCTGCCCAAACGCGCACAGGAGATGCACACAGGACACACACACACACACACAGGGGTGCCAGCCCCCCCCCCAGGCTCACTTGGACAGCAGGTTGTTCATGGCGGGCATGGCCACCCCCTCGCCGATGCCCATGCACATGCGCGCCGCCAGCAGCACCGGCAGGCTGACGCGTGCCGCGATGGGCGTGATGACGGTGGCCAGGCTCCACCACACCACGCCAAAGCCCAGCACGCGCTTGCCGCCAAAGCGGTCGGCCCACACGCCGCCGGCCACCTGCGTGAGCAGGTAGCCCCAGAAGAAGGAGGACTGCACCAGGCCAATGGTGGCGCTGTTCCACTGAAAGTGCTGGCTGATGGGCAGGATGGCGATGCTCATGTTGACGCGGTCCATGTTGCACAGCTGCGCGGGGGGCGGGCAGGTAAGGGCGCGGGGAGGCGGGGGGTGGGGGCGCCTTGAGGTGGCCAGGCAAAGGCCAGGGGGGCAGGCGAGGCTCGGCGGTGCCACAGGGAGCAAGCCACCCAGCGCCGGCGTGCATGGCGTGGGGCGCCACAATGGTGGGCGCTGCTCGCTCACCAGGAAGGCCACGAAGCACATGGCAATCATGGTCCACCGCCGCTTCCACCCGGGCTTCTCCCGCACCCTGCTGCTGCTGCTGCCGCCGCCGCTTCCGCTGCTGAGCGAGCCAGAGTAGGAGCCGCTGCCGCCCACCAGCTCTGCGCCGTCGAAGCTGGCTCCCAGCGCGGCCTCGACGCCCTCGCCCCCCGGCGTGGTGCTGACACAGTGGGCACGGGGTGGCGCGAGACGCGGCGGCGGCGGCGCGCTCGTCACGCTTCCTCCGCGGCGCTGCGCGGGGAGAGCAGGGGACAGGCGGGAGGTTGGGCAGCAGGCGCACAGGCTCTGCGACGAAGCCCAACAAGCCCTGATGGGAAGCCTGCAGCACGAGCCCAGCAGCCTTCCCCCTCACCTGCGGCAACTGCTGCACCAGCGGCGGCGGCGCTGGCTGGACGGGCGCATGGTGGCCTAGTCTGTGCACCCCGGCCACACGGCGAGCCACAAACCTGCATGGGAGCATATGCGCCACAGCTCTGTGGGCCAGGAAGGCGCAATGCACGCCTCTGGCCTTATCCCGCAGGGTGTCTCGCACGCATCCCACCTGCCACTGGGTGCACTCTGCGCCCACCCCGCCTCGTTACGGAACCCGCTAGTGCTGGCCTGGGCGTTGGTGACGCCCGTGGCGGCCCGCATCGCTGCTGCTGGTAGCACCAAGGGACAGTGGCTGCCCAGCGGTTGCTCACGAGGCCAACTGGAATGCTATTGCGTGCGCGTCACTGAACTGGTGCTGGCAGCGAATGATAAAGATGTGCAGCCTACGGGCTTGCAGCACATATGGCGTGCCACCTGGGTGCCAAACCCTATTGCTGCGCGGCTCTGTATAATCCGTCAAACTACCATCGGCCAATACCGGCATTGCTTCCGGTGCCATTCTGAGTGTCGGCGTGAAGTGGTGCCGCAGGCACGCAAATGCCACCCTCTGATCACACCGCCAGGGCCTTTGGGGCCTAGGCAGCGTGCCTGATTGAGCAGCGCGGCCGGCTGCAGCGCTGCCTCGGCCCAGACAGCCCCGCTGCCCTGCCGCCTCCCGCCTGCGCCTCCGCCTCGGCTACCATGCTATCACTGCTGGGGGCGGCTGTGGTTGGCTGGCTGGGCTGGCGGGCATGGCAGCAGCTGCAGCAGTGGCTTGCAAAGCTGAGGGTCCTGAGCGCGCTGCCGCACCCCAGCACCACCGCCACCCTGACGGGCTCCCTGGAACTGATCGCCGACAGAGACCACATGCACCACGCCCTGGGCCGTGCGGCTGCCGAGCTCGGCGGCCTGTGCTATGTGCGCATCCTGTGGCAGCCGGTGAGCTGGTGCCCGAAGGAGCGCTCTGCATGATTGGTTGTCTTCTGTGTGTGCATCCAGCGCCGAGGAGCCAGCCACCCAGCTCCCCAGCACCTCTGCCGCGCCTGCCGCCGCAGCTGGTGGTGGTCACCGACCCGGCGCTGTGCCAGCAGCTGCTGAGCGCCGCCATGGACCTGCCCAAGGACCCTGGGCCCTACCACTCCTTCAACACGCTCACCAGCCCTGGAGGCCGCACCCCCAACATGCTGGGCCACACAGCCAGCCACGGCTACTGGCACCTGGTGAGCAAGGGCGGGGCCGCGGCTCGCGCCTCCCCGGCCCCCGCTGGCCGCTGCGCAACCCAGGCCGCCGCCCCTGCCGCTTCCGGCGCGCCGCAGGTGCGCAAGGGCGTGGCCGGCGCCTTCTCGCCGCGCAACATCCGCGGCCAGTTCCCGCACGTGCTGCGCCTGGCGGACCAGATTGCGGGCATCCTGCGCGGCGCGGGGCCCGCCGCCGTCCTGGATCTGGACAACCTCCTGCAGCGGGAGGCCATGGACGTGATCGGCAGGATTGGCTTCCAAACCGACTTTGGCGCGCTGGAGGCTTATGCCAGCGGCGCCCACGGCGGCGGGCCACTCCACGTGGCCAGCGTGTTTGAGACGACCAAGGGTGCGTGGTGCCTGCCGGCCGCCTTCCCTGCCGTTGGCAGCCCGCACTCGAGCCGCACGCGCTCTCGCCCCTGGCTGCAGGTGCGGCGCTGGAGATCGCCAAACGGTGGAGCCAACCGCTGCGCACGCGGGTGTGGCGCCTGATCCCGGTGAGGGGCGGGGTGCCCCGGGTGCTTACCGCAGGCACCGCTGCGGCAGTGCCCAGATGCCATTCACCAGCCAGCCCGGGCCGCCGTGCTCTGCGCCGCTGCCGTGCAGGATGCGCGGCGCGGCGAGGCCTGCCTGCGCGCAGCCCAGGCGCGCATGCGGGCGCTGCTGGCAGAGCTGAAGGCACGCGGCCCGCCGGCGGAGGATGACGCATCCATCGCGGCGCACCTGCTGCGCATCAGGTGCTGCTGCCCGCGCTGCGCTGCGCTGCGCCGCGCTGCGCTGCACCATGTTCTTGGCCGCCAGGGCGGAGGGTGTGTGGCTGTGGCGCGCCGCCCACACCCGGCCTCGCTGTCCCCCGCCCCTCGCCGTGGCGCTTGCAGGGACCCTGCCACCGGCCGACCCCTGACCGACGAGCAGCTGGCGGGGGAGGTGGGCCTCATGTTCTTTGCCGGGTTTGAGACGACCGGCCACACCATGGCCTGGGCGCTGTTCCTGCTGGCCAGCCACCCGCAGGCCGCCGCCAGGGTGGCCGCCGAGCTGGATGAGCATGGCCTGCTGGTCATGCCGCGGCGCCCCCGCCCCCGCCAGCTCGAATATGCCGACCTCTCCAAGCTCAAGTGAGTGTGCAGTGATGGGAGCGCAGCGCGGCTTGGGGGCTGCGGGATGGTGGCGAGCGGGGCTGGCAGGAGGGAGGTTCAGCAGGCTGGCGGCTGCACGCTCCCCTCCCCTACACACACCACACAGGAGCCACACACCCCGCACGCAGGTATCTGGGCCAGGTGCTGAAGGAGAGCATGCGGCTGGTGCCGGTGGTGGCGGGCGGCACGGCGCGCAGGAGCGCCAAGGAGCTGACGCTGCGGGGGCACCGCATCCCCGCAGGAACGACGCTCATCGTGGGAGGCATCGGTGGGTGGCGGCCCCGGCGTGGGTGGGTGGCGCGCAGCGTTGCGGGCAGCGGAAACGATGCCGGGCTGGCTGGCAGGGAGCGGGCGCCGCCGGCAGAGGTGCTGGCGAGGAGACGATGCCGTGTGTGCCGCTTCGGGCCGTGCCGCAGGCCTGCACCTGAGCAGCCACAACTGGGAGCGGGCCGACGAGTTTCTCCCCGAGCGCTGGGAAGAGCCCGGGGCAGAGTACTGGCCGGGGGACATGTGTCCGGCGCGGGCCGGCACGCGCCCCGAGGGGAGCAGCGGCAGCACCGGTGCATCCACCAGGCCGTTGGGTGGGGATGAGGAGGAAGAGGAGGGCGACGGCGCTGGTGCTGCTAGCGCCAGCGGCGCCTGGACCTTGGTGGACAGCGACAGGCCGCCGCTGAGGTTTGCCCCCTTCTCTCAGGGCCCCCGCATCTGCATCGGACAGGTGGGCCTGAGACAAGGGTGTGTGTGCGGTGCGGTATGCAGCACCGCGTGCGGGGGGGTGGGGCATGGGCGGCAGCGCTGTGCTGGTGGAGCAGTGACATCGGACGTGCCTGCCCTGCCTTGCAGCACCTGGCCAAGATGAATGCCACCGCCACGCTGGCCCTGCTGCTGTCGCGGTTCACGTTTGAGCTGCCGCCGGAGCTGCGGGGCCCTGGGGCGCTGTGGGACTTGCAGGCACGCCATTGCCGGCAGCAGCGGCAGCGCTTGCCTGTGGCCGTGCCGCCTGCAATGTGCAATGTGACTGCAGCCTGCAGCACGCTAATTGGTTTTTGTTGCGCTGGGCCTGTGCAGTGCAACTTGATGACCAACCAGCCCCGGGATGGGCTGCCGATGAGGTGCATCCCACGCCCCACTTGAGCCGGGGCCACCCTCGGCCAGTACACCTTCTGCCTGCCCCAGCACATTCCCCCACCCCATCACATCCAACACATGCTACTTACAAGCCCTGTAACTTTGCTTCAGAGACAATCACACTGACTTATGCATCAGATCACTGCTCGCGCTGCCTCAGTCGATGATCAAATACTCCTCCTCCTGGCTGCTAGGCTCGGCCACCATGCTTGCAGCCCCCTGGCACCCGCCGCCAGCCGCCAGCTCCAGCTGCTTTGAAGGCAGTGCTGCTTCTGCGGCACGGTTGCCGTCCTGTAAGGCCGGCGCATCGCTCTGCAGCACTGCCCCCCACACCTGCCCGGCGAATGCAGGCTGCCCTGGCGAATGCGCATCGGCACCCCTCCTGCGCTTCACCCTGCCGCCGCACCCCAGGCCACTACTGCTTGCGCTTTCTACGCTGCAGCCGCCACCGCCACCACCGCTGCTGCCGCCTGTGGGCGGCCCAGGCAGAGCTTGCAGGCTGGCGCCATCTGAGCGGGGAAAGGCCCAGCCTGGTGCCGCCTCCACCTCATCTGGGGTCGCGGCAGCTGGCGTGCTGCAGGTTGCAGCTGCAGGGGAGCCCTCCCACCGTGTGCTGATGGCCCCCCACGGTGAGCTGATGCCCACATGCTGCCCTCCTGCTGCACCATCCGCCAGCTCCAGCCGCTCCGCCGCCTCCATGCTGCTTGCCGGCGGCAGCAGCGGCGGCACCGCCAGCAGGCGCTCCCGCTGCTGCGCCCACGTCAGCCCGCTTGGCTCGGTGTGTGGCGTTTCGCCTGCAGCGGGCAAGAGGCAAGGCAATCCTGCCACATGCGTGTGCAGCCGCGGCCATAGGCATAGGAGTGCTATCATACAGTTGTGTGCAGGCCGGCTCCCAGCCGCACCTGCGCCATTGTTTTCCTCCAGCCAGCCCAGCGCCGCCGCCGCCGGCACTGCTGTCAATGTTGGCGGCAGGGTGGGCCCAGGCTCAGCTACCGGCTTGCTGTAACTGGGGGGAGGCGGGAGGGCAGGCCCCGCCTGGGCGTGCCCGGCGCCCGTGACGGCAGGGGCTGCTTTGGCGCTGGCAGCATGCGCCGAGGCCTCTGCCGCCTCTGGCATCCCCGCGACTGCTGGCAGGAGGGGACGAGGCAGAGCCGCCGCTGCAAGGCCGGGCACACCACCGGGCGTGGGGTGCACCAGCAGATGGGCAGCATGGGGCGCCCGCGGGATGGCGCGCCGCGGGGTGAGCAGGCAGGCAGCACCGGGGCCGACGTTCTCGGGCGCCGTGGCCCCCGGCACCTGGCTGGCCGCCTCCGCCGCCGCCGCCACCGCAAACGCCAGGAAGTCGAGCAGGCCATCGGGCGTGTGCAGGTCAGCCAGGTCAGCAAGGATCTGCTTGTAGTGGTGGCGCAGCAGCGGGAAGTTGAGGCGCTGCGCTTTGCCGCCCTTCTGCAGCAGGCGGTCGATGTCGTAGGCCATGCCGGCCTCCTCGGGTGTGCTGTACAGGCCCAAGCTGAGCTCTTTGCCGGAACGCTTGGTGCGGGCCTGCCAGTTGTCGCCCGCGAAATGCACGCCCCTGTGGGGCGGGATGGCGGTGAGAAGACCCACGCTGCTTGCAAAAGGCATGCATGGCGGAACGCTGGCAGGAAACATGGCGTTGGTGCCCCTCCAGACCCGCTCTGGCACTTCAGCCCTGCAGTCCTGTCGCAGAGGCCTTGGCCTCACCTGTACTGCGGAGGCGGCGGCAGCGGGGAATGGGCCGCCACCTCGTCCGGCTGCTGCGCCGGCGGCTGCTGTTGCTGCAGTGGCGGCCCCTGCTGCTGCCGCTCGTGCTGGGCTTCGGCTGCTTGGCGCCGCAGGATGGCCGCTAGGATGGCTTTCAATCGCATCGCAGTGATAGCGGTGCTGCTGTGCAGAACAAAAGCCGATTGCCTCAGGCAGGCGTGAGGGAAATGGGACGCATGAAAAGCGGGGCTCAGGAGGTGTGTGACAGGCTGAACAGGCTGAAAGGAAAGAATGGTTACAGGGAGCGATTTTCGAAGAAAATTGGCCCGACAGCGTACCAGGGCCTCCACAACTATGGCGTACTACTCGATAACGAGCCAAATAATCGGAGCGGCCCATCGCGTTCTCGTTGTGGCGGCCGCCGCGATGGTAGCAGGCGGGAGAGCGCGCAAGGAGCGGCAGACACCACAGCAACTCTGGGTTCGACAGCCTCATCACATGCTGCATCGTCAATGTGAACATGCAAGCTGTACAGACAGAAGGTTCAAACTAGCTGTGCATGAGATGAACGCTCACGATGCCTGCCGAGCACCGCTGACCCTCCGTCTAAACGGCCAGCCGGCCCTTCCTGCTGCTCCCCTGGCGGCCCTGCTACTGGCTTCAATCAATGATCAGACTCCTCCGCCGCCTCCTCATTGCAGGGGCTGGCTTCAATGCTCGCAGGCTCGCTGGCCCCGTAGCTGCTGCCACCCGCCGGCGGCTCAGGCAGCGCCTTCACTAACGGCGAGTCGCCACGGCTGCCCCACACCTGATCACAGTTGCAGCGCTGCTCGCCGCCGCAGCCGTCGCAGGACTGTGAGCAGCTGCAGGCGCGTGAGTAGGCGCTGGGGCGGGTCAAGTTGGCGCAGCAGGCATCCTTGTCCTGCGGCGGTGAGAATGCCAGGCAGCGTAGCCATGTGTGGTGGAAAGGTGAGTGCATGGCCGTCCAAGAACAAGCAAAGTAGCAAGACCCAGCAGTGACATTTTTCGACATGCATTGCATGGACAGACATTGCAGGCAGCAGGCCGCTTGCTCACCCGCCACGCCTCCAGGCATGCCGCCTCCACCACCCGCCACTTGCCGCACTGCCCGCACTCCAGCCAGTCCAGCTGCTCATCAGCCTCGCCTTCACCAGGCTGCAAGGCTGCACTGGCGTCCTTGGCACCAGCCTGGGCCAGGGGAACCTCCGCACGCGCCTCTGCCTGCTGCCGCTGCGCCGCCGCCTGCTGCTGCTCCTGTACCTTGGCAGCCAGACGGGCCGCCTGCTGCTGCTCCCGCACATTGGCTGCCAGCCTGGCCAGTTTGGCCGCATGCAGGCTGGCAGCAGCCACATATGCAGCGTGCAGCTGCGCCTGCGCCTGGTCCGAAGCCCACTGCTGCCACCCACCCGGCACACCAGCTGTAAGCAGTGGCCCAGGCGGTGACACGCCTGCCACCGGCACGCCTGGCAGGCATCCTGTGCCCAGCTGTGCACCTACCAGCTGCGGGCTGCCGCCTAAAGGAAGCGCCAGGGCTGGCTGGAACAGCTGCTGAGGCGCCAGGGAAGTGGCAGGGGCACCGGCAGGCGGCCCGCCTGCCACATTCTCATCCCGCTTGCGCTTCGTGCTGCCCTCTCTCCCCGCGCTGCCGTCACTGCCGCCAAAGGGCTCAGCAGATGAAAGTGCAAGTAGCGCGCTTCCAGTTTGCTGATCGGTGCCCTCCGCTCCATGCCCTCCGCTCCACATCTGCCTTGCTCCCGTTGCTGGCTGCGCGGCTGACTGTGATCGAGGCAGCAAGCCGCTCAGGATCAGAGGTGCCGAGTTAGCGCGCTCTGTGTTACCTTGTGCAGCGGCTCGGCAGCATGAAAGCAGCCTCCACGAGCCGCCCCTCTTCGAGGCATTACTTGCCAGAGAAATGAGCGAGAGGTGAAAATGAATGAGCTAGAGTACAACGTTGCTGACATGGCACGGGCGATCAGGTTGCGGCGGCGGTCAGGTTGCAGCCGCTGCCTGGGTTACACATGCTGCCAGGCCAGTCTGTACAGCATGGGGGCTCAATGGACCCCATGGAGCGGGCATCAACGAAGGTCAAGCACTAGTCAAACATCATGTGTGGCACAGAGCAAAGCACGTATTGGGCGCTGGATTGAAAGTCGCCAAAGCAGGAAGGGCGATGTCTGTAAATCGAAAAGTGAACCCCCAGAGCACTCGGAACGAAAAGGTCGACAAATGAAACACACACAGGGGGGTCTAGCTGGCTTGTGAAAACGGGTTGGTGCCCTGGCGGGCAAATCTTGCTACACAGAGCGGGGCGGCAGCCGCCGCCGGCAGCGGCACCTCCTCACGCCGAAAGGTTGTTGTTTGCGACCAACTTCTCCATGAACCTCACTGCCTCTGCAAACATCCTCATCTCCAGCAGCATGGTCAGGGGCTTGGCCTGCAGGCGGGAGGGCAGCGCCACACAGAGCGGTGAGGCAGGCACATGCGCCCATATGGATCCCTCTGGGGCGCGGGCGGGTGGGGTGGGGACATGCCGCAAGCTGCGCTGCATGTCGCACGACAGGCAGGGACGGCCGCCGCAACGCCGCCCTGCTGCTGCCGAGCGCGGGCCTGCAGCGAGGCGCCGCATGCGTGGCGGCCCCGCCCCAGCCTGCCACGCCTGGCGCTCACCCTGTCGTGCTGCTGCTTCAAGTCCATCCTCTCAAACTGGGCCTGGTGGTCGGTGATGAGGTCGATGGTCAGGCCCGCCTGGCGCGCCGCCGCGTCGCTGCCCAGCACCAGGATCAGGCGCTCCAGCACATCGTTGGCCTCCTTGGAGGCACCAGACGCGGGGCTGCCGCCTGGCGCGGCCACGCCGACCGCGGGCGGCGCGCCTGCAGCCGCAGGCGGCGGCTCGGCTGGCGCCGCTGCTGCCGCTGGCGGCTCGCCTGCTGGCTCTGCTGGGGGCGGCCCGCCGGCTGCCGGCCCGCGCTGCCCGGCTGCCGCATTACCGCCGGCGCCGCGTGGCGCAGACGACCTTGCAGGCTCCTCTCTTGCCTGCTTGAACATGCGCAAGGCGACGCCTGGGTGCTGGGCCTGCTCCTGCTGCCCGCCGCCGCTGCCTGCCATGCTTCCCTCCAGCTCAGGCCTGGGACCCGCACCCTCAGCTGGGGCAGGCTGCACCGCTGCGACTGCAGCTGCCGCCGGCTCCGCCTCTCCCGCCTGCTGCTGGGCTTCCGCCGCAGCTGCTCCTGGCTCCTGCTCCTGCCTCGCCTCATCAGCATCCATGGCTGCCTCCGCCGCGGCTGCTGCAGGTGCCACATCCTGCGGTGGAGGCTGCTCCTGCTGTGCAGCTGGAGCGCCCGCACCGGCTCCATCCGCCGGTTCGGCGCCTTCCCCCCCGCTGCCCGGCACTGCTGCAGGAGCGCTGACCCCTGCCGCCGCAGCAGCCATGGCCAGCGCTTGCTGCAGCGCCTGCTCCCCAGGCCCCTCCCGCGCCACCTTGGCAGCCACCAGCAGCGGCGGCCTGCCACCCGGGGCACGTGCCGCGGCGGCAGGCGCCTGGCGGTGCAGCAGCAGGCGGTCGCCCTCCTGCACATCCAGCTTCGAAAACAGCTCTGCAGCAGGATGGTGGGCAGTGGCAAAATGGATAGTGCAAACTCGGCATTTCCGCTGGCAGTCAGGCCTGGCTGGCGCAGGCAACTGGCAGCTAGCAGCGGCACCCACTTTTGCCCTCGATCCTCCCATCACTTAGGCTGGCATTCCATGCAGTCCTGTTGTTGGCGGTTCTGGCATCTCGCAGGCGCAGATGGCCACCAGCCTGCAGTCCCGTCAGCTTGGCGGCCATGGCGGCTGCAGGGGGGGCACAGCTCGTGGGGCAGACAGTCAGCTGATGCGCTAGCGGATGGATGGCACAGGTGCAGGGTGCCACACGCTCAGCCCAGCCTGCATGCAGCTCGGTGCAGCACGGCGCACCAGGCAGCACCAGGGTCTCGCTGAGGATGCATGTCCCATTCACTTCCACCTCCAAGGCTGCAGGGCAAGAGGCACGGGCACTGTCAGCTTGAATTGTGCGGGCGCACGAAAGCCATCGCATCAAGCGCTGCCCAGACCTTAGGTGCAAGCATGGGATATCAGACAGCATGGCTTAAATGAGGCAGCGACACACAAGCTGACAAAGGCTCACCTGTACTGTCGGCATTCACCCAGCGGCACTCGCCACCGCCACGGCCAGTTGCACCAGCGCTGTCAGAAGCCTGGGACGCCCCAACTGGCTCGGCAGGCGCAGCGGCCACTGCAGCTGCTGGCGGCTCGGGGACCTCCTGCTGCTTGCCGCGCCGCCGCTTGGCCGCTGGCTCAGCAGCCTGCTCCTTCTGCTTCTCGCCAGCCTCAGCTTCCGCGGTGTCCTCGGCCTGCTCCTCCTGCTGGCGGCGCCCACGTTTGTGCATGCTGCCAAGCAGGGCAGTCTGCTCCTGCTCTGCCTGCACCAGCTGGCGGCGCCCACGCTTGTGCTCGCTGGCAGAAGGTGGCTGCTGCTGCTCCTCCGCGGCAGCCTCGCCCTCTACTTCCGACAATCGGCGCCTGCGCCTGCTGGCCTGCCCGGCCGCAGTCGCTGCCTGCGCCTCCACCTCTACTGCCCCATGCTGCTGCTCCTCCTGCTGGTGCTGCTGATGTCGCGTCACACGTCGGCCTGGCAAAGACAGCAGCACAGGTGCCTGCAGTGCTTCCGCATCGCCCGCAGCAGCATCTCCCTGCTCCTGGCCGCTGGCCCACCTTGTGCCGCTGCGCTGCCTGCCCTTGCCTGCTGCTGGCTGCTCTTCCTGCCCCTCAGGCTGCGAGGGCTGCGGGGGCTCAGCTGGCTGCGGCAACTCCGGCAGGAAGCCATAGTGCTTGCGCGAAAAGTCCCAGCAATCCTTGCACAGCCGAGCGCCAGTGGTCGCGTGCTTGCGCCAGGGGTAGGTTGGCGTGGGGCCGGCGTGGTCAGCGCCGCAGTGGCTGCACAGCCGCTGCTCTCCGGCAGCGCCCGCATCCGACTGTCCCTCGGCACCAACAGCTGTTGCTGCATCAGCCACACGCTGCTGCTTGTGCTGCCTGGGTGACACAGGCGGCTCCTCATCCACTGCAGGAGCGGCTGGCGGCTGCCGACCATGCTGCTTCCGCTTGCCCTGCTGCTTCTTCTTCGGCTGATTGGTTGCGGCTGCTGCAGCCTCCTTCCAGGCAACCACAGGCAGCTCGCCGCCATGCCGGTCGCTGTAGCCGCAGCAAGGGCCACACAGCTGCTCCTTGCTGGTGGGGTGCCACCGCCAGGAGTACGATGTGCCGGGCGGCCCAGGTCGCAGCGAGCCGCAGTGGGTGCACTGCTTCACAGCGGCTGCGACTGCTGCCTCCTCCTCCTCGCTCTGCTCCTCCCCCTCTGGCTCCACCTCGCTCTTCTCCTCCTGCTGAGCCTGCTTCTCTGCCTGCCGCTGCTGCCGCTTGATGGCGTTGTGCACCTTTCTGTAGCAAGGATGGCACAGCCACTCCTCCCCGGTGGCGGGGTGGCGATGCCAGCCTGCCGATTTGGTGCTGCCTTTGCTGGTGCTGCCGCACTGCAGGCACTGGCGCTGCTGCGGCTGCTGCTGCAGCTGCTCCTCCTCCTCCTCCTCCTCGCTCTGCGCCTCCTCTTCCTCGCTCTCCACCTCCTGCGGGTGCTTCTCCGGCTGCCGCTGCTGCCGCATGGCAGCTGTGCGCGCCTTGTTAAAGCAGGGCTGGCACAGCCACTCCTCCCCGGTGGCAGGGTGGCGGTGCCAGCCTGCCGATTTGCTGCTGCCTTTGCTGGTGCTGCCGCACTGCAGGCACTGGCGCTGCGGGGGCTGCTGCTGCAGCTGCTCCTCCTCCTCCTCCTCCTCGCTCTGCGCCTCCTCTTCCTCGCTCTCCACCTCCTGCGGGTGCTTCTCCGGCTGCCGCTGCTGCCGCTTGATGGCTGCACGCGCCTTGTTAAAGCAGGGCTGGCACAGCCACTCCTCCCCAGTGGCGGGGTGGCGGTGCCAGGTTGCCCACCTGCCGCTGCCTTTGGTGGGGCTGGCACACTGCAGGCACTGGCGCTCCTGGGGCTGCTGTGGCGGCTGCTCCTCCTCCTCCTCCTCGCTCTGCTCCTGTTCCCCCTCCGCATCTGACAGCGCTGGCAGCTCGCCGCCATGCCGGTGGGCGTGGCCCCAGCACCGGCCACACAGCTGCTCCTTGCTGGTGGGGTGCCGCCTCCACGAGTACTTGGTGCCGGGGGGGCCAGGCCGCAGCGAGCCGCAGTGGGTGCACTGCTTCACAGCAGCTGCAATAGCTGCCTCCTCCTCCTCCTCCTCACTCTGCTCCTCCTCATCTGGCTCCACCTCGCTCTCCACCTCCTGCTGAGCCTGCTTCTCTGCCTGCCGCTGCTGCCGCTTGATGGCGTTATGCACCTTTCTGTAGCAAGGATGGCACAGCCACTCCTCCCCGGAGGCGGGGTGGCGGTGCCAGCCGGCCCACTTGGCGCTGCCTTTGCTGGTGCTGCCGCACTGCAGGCACTGGCGCTGCGGGGGCTGCCGCTGAGGATGTTCCTCCTCGTCCTCCTCGCTGTCCTCATCCTGCTGCTCCTCGCTGTCCTCCTGCTCCTCCTCCTCCAGCAGCTCCGGCAGCTCGCCGCCGTGTTTGTCGGCATAGCGGCCGCAGGGCGCGCACAGCTGTTCGCGAGTGGTGGGATGCCGCCGCCAGTAATACTGGCGGCCAGCAGGGCCAGGCTGTAGAAAACCGCAGTGGGTGCACTGCCTCACAGCAGCCGTGCCTACTGCTGGCTGGTCTCGTGGCTGCTCGTGCAGCGGCTGCTGCTGCGGCTGCAGCGGCTGCTGCTGCTGCTGTTGCAGGCTCTCGGCACGCTGCTGCCAGACACGCTTGCCGCAATCGTCGCACAAAATGTGGCCTGCTTCTCCTGGGGGCTTGCGCCACTGCGTGGAGCTTGTGGTGCCACACACGGGGCACTTGCGCCCGATGGCAGCCACCGCCTCGGGCATCAGCAGCGTGCACTCCACCAGGGGCAGTTCCCGCTGCAGGGTGCCAGCGGCGGCTGCACCCTGCCGTCCCCGTCCCCTGCCGCCCCGGCCACGCCCCCTGCCTCTGCCGCCCCCGCCAGCGAGGGGCGGCGGCGCGTGGGCTGCCTCATCAGGCACCTTGGGAGCCGCGACCCTCAGCTGCAGGCGGCTGCCAGCGGACAGCTCGAGCTTCCCGAACAAGCCTGCACACAGGGGGCAAGGGAGGGGAGGACAGTGGATGAGAGCAGCAACAGCCTCCGCAGATTCTAGAACAGCCGGCAACTCGGTTTGGCACTAGCGGCGCTGCCAGCACTGCCTGAATCACATCACCGACCTGGCAACCGTAGGGTTGTGCCAGACAGGTAGCCGCGCCACTCCTCGCCGCTGTAGGCATGGCGCACCAGCACCTCGCGGTTGCTGCCGCCAGCCAGGTCGTCCCACGTGCTTTCTGCAGCCAGTATACAGCACAGCGGTGCCGCTAGTTGGGCAGGGTCCCGCTGCGGCGTGCACTGCCTTGGCTGAGTGGTGCACCCTGGACATCTGCCAGGCTGCTCATGCACTCACCTGGGAAGATGAAGGCCCTGGCTTCCGCCTCGGCAACATTGATGGTCTTCAGCATGCCTGCAGCCCAGCAGAGGCAACGGAGGGAGACGGAGGTGGTTTGTGCAAAGGAAGCCTAGCAGCAGAAGGCGCCACCTGACTCAGGTTGATATCGGACATGGCACGGCAGCTCCCACGCGCACGTGAGTGTCCCGCATCCTCCCACTCGAAGGCTGAAGCGCCGTCTCCGCCCGCAGATGCCGCTGCATGCTGCTGCTGCTGCACCGGCTCCGCCTCCGACTCTGCAAACTCCTCCTCTGACTCGCTCGCCTCCTGCTGCTCATAGTCGGAGCTCGTTGCTGGCCGCCCCTCATCTTCCTCGCTCGATGATGCTCCTGCCGCAGCCACAGCAGCTGCCACGCCCGCAGCAGCATTGCGCCGCCTGGGCAGCACACGCCCCTGGGCAGAGGCAGCAATTGGCTGGCGCCGAAGCTGCAGCTGAACGTCAAGGTGGCGCTGGGCCTGGCGGCGCAGCCTGCGCTCCTTCAGGTCAGACTCCTCCTCTGAGCTCTCATCATCTGCTGCGGCAGCGCCCTCGTCCGACGACAACACCGTATCCTCGGGATGCCTAGCTGCCGCCTGCCTGGCGCGGCCAGCTGCAGCCTGCCTATTGCTCCCGCCAGGGCCCCTCACAACATCCAGCCCTGCTGCAGCACGTCTGCTGCTGCTGTTGTCGCGGCCGCTGCCACGGCCAGAGCCGTGCCCGTTGCCGCGGCCAGTCCGTGCGTGCATGCCTGCTGCGCGGTTAGCAAAGTATGCCTGAATCACGTCGGCTGGCCGGTCGAGTCCCGTGCGTTGGAGGTAGGAGAAGCAGTTGGCGCACAGCAGCTTGCCGCTCGACGGGTGCCGCTGGTAGCCCGTGCACTGGTCGTCACCACAGTGGCTGCACAGCTGGCTGCCCGAGACATCACTGCTGTCACCAGGCTGCTCCTCCTCATCACCATCGCCCTCCTCATTGCGATCCTCGCTGCCCTCCCCTGCCGAGCTGCCCCCACCTCCCTCGGGCCCATCTCCAGCCTGCTGCTGGGAGGTCTGCTGGCTGTTGCCGCTGCTGCCGCCACCAGCACTGGTGCCATTGCAAGCAAGGGCACCTGCGCCATGCGCTGCACCTGGCTGCCCCACATCCTCAGCAGCTGGTGGTCCCTGGGCTGCGCCAGCTGCCGAGGGAGGCGGCGAGGCTGGCAGCTCTGAGCCGTGGACCGCACCACTCCCCACGCGTGCCAGGGTGGTTCCTGCATGGATTGGGGTGGCAAAGGGAGAGAGTGAGCACATCGGTTAGGTGGCGCAGGAAGGAAAAGCGAGCGCTTGAACTGCTCTGCTCGCATGGCACAAGCAAAGCACATGCATGAACATTGAGCAGCCATCCACAACAATAAAAAAACCAGGAGCAAACAGCAGAGCCGCAGCTGATGCAGCTGGAATGTGTGGCTCACCTGCGGCACGCTGGCTGCCCGCCTCGGCGCCCGGGAGGGACGCGACCACATCCTGCAGTCTTTTGGGCACCCAGCGGACGAGCACCGCTCGCAGCGCGTTTGGGTTGGCAGCATCGCGGAGCTGCAGGGGGCACAGCAAGGAACACGGTTCACATGTGGACGTGTGTGTGCAGAGAGTCTGGCACGATGGGCGGCAGTCCATGCTCTCTGCTGCCGGGGTCCCACCACAGTCTGCTGTCCTTCAACCCAACTGCCACGCACCTCCTGCACCAGCTCCGCATCCTTGTCCAGGTTGCTGTGGGGCAGGTTGAGCATGGCATCGCCCGCCAGGCCTGCGGCAGCAGCGGCGGCAGGGCATGGATGCAGAAGTGAGTGGGGCAGGCCACGGCCAAGCTGGAGTCGCAGTGCAGAGATGCACGTGGGAGTGCAGAGAGGCCAGCCTTGGCACCCACCGTGCAGCTGCTTCCAGATGATGCCGATGTCACGCACCACCGCAGCCTCCACCGGCGTGTCAAACGCTCCCAGGTGCTCGCGGGTGCCGTCCACTGCAGGTCAGCGGACAACGGAAAGGATGGGGCAGGTCAGCACAAAACACAGAGCCAGGCCTTGCATGCGAATGAGCAGGCCATGTGCAGGCTGGCAGTATCCAGCAACGAGCACCTGTGATGGCGGCCTGAAGCTTGACGCTGCCAGTGATGCGAAGCACGCCCACAAACCGTGTTGTGTTGTCCTGGTTCAAGGCCGCAGCAGAGCCCACTCCTGCCTGCAGCTGCTGCTGGCCTGCTGAGCGGGCAGCCGCCTCCCACTGCTGCAGCCGGAACGGCTGCAGTTGCTCCTCCAGCTGCTGCCTGGTGGCACCGCTCAGCAAGGCCAGCAGAGCCGCATCGCTGCTGAACTTAACTGGCGGGAAGTTGAGCTCGCCCTGCAGCCCCAGCACTGCCGCCTGCACCTGATCCTGCGAGGCTGCCTGTGCTGCTGTGCCTGGCCCCTCCGGCTGCTGCTGCCGCAGCGCCCACCAGATACGGGCGTGGTCATGAGCGGCGGCAGCCAGAGCCTCAGACTGGTAGCCGGCGATGCGGACATCGCGCGCCTGCAGGAGGATATGGCCGCAAAGCTTCCAGTCAGACAGCTGAGGAACAGAGTCAGTGCGCCCCAGCCAGGCCTCCACCTCTCGCTGCCAAACACCTGCCCACCGGCACTGCCGGCAGGCACGCCCTGCCCCACCCCCACATTTCACTCGCCTGCGGCAGCTTGACCTGGACCTTGTACTTGCCGCTGCCGGGAGGCGCCTCGCTGACGCCGCGGCTGCCGTGTGGCGCGGCAGGCGGTGCGGCAGCAGCGCCCAGCCTGGCGTTGCTGGGGACGCGCACCCTGAACTTGGTGCCGCCATGCTTCGGCGCCTGCACCGATTGCTCCACCGGCTCGCCGGCTGCGGTTGCTGGCACGCCCACAACAGGCAGCGCATGGCCCTCTGTCACGCCTTGTTCCGGATGCTGATCTTCTACCTCCTGCTGCGCTTGCTCCAGCGCTGATGCCATTCCTGATGCCACAGCATCGTTGGAGGCGCCAGCCAGCTGAGAGGCCGGCCTGCCCGGCCTGCCCCGACCCCCGCTGGCTGCAGCCTGCTGCGAAGGCGGCCGTCCGGCAGGGCCTGATCCCGAGGCCTCAAAAGTGTAGGTGGTGCCGGCTGCGCCCGTCGCGCCGGGCGCTACCGCCCCACCCGTCCCTCCCGCCGCCTGGGCAGTCCGCAGGGGCCCGATGACGAGTGCGTCAAAGGCCTGCTGCTGCGCCACTGCCGGGTCATACACGCCCGGCACCAGCTGCTGCTGTGCCGCCCCCGACATGCCCAACAGCGTGTCGTACTGCTGCTGCTGCGCTGCCGCTGTCACATCCTCCACCTCATGCTCCGCACCAGGCACAGCCGGCTGCGCTGGTACTGCCTCCACAGCGGCCGCCTCCTGCTCCGATGCAGCACGGCCAGCCTCCAGAAGCGGCTGGTCAGCTGCCGCTGCGCTGTGGGGCGCTAACGCCTCGGCCAGCGGCATGTCTGGTGTTGGCAGCAGTACTGCCGCGGTGCACGCTGCGGGCTGCTCCTGCTCCTGCTCCGCCTCTGCTACCGCTGCATGCTGCCCAGAAGGGGGTGCACCGCTCTGCCCCCCGTCTGCAGCACCAGCAGCACTGGCCACGTCAGCAGCCCCTGCAGGCAGCGGGGGAGCGTTCCTTGTCAGCGGATGGCACCGAAACACAGGTGCAGGCCAATAAAAGGGCTGCATGGGGGTCTGGCTGGAGCCTGGCTGGGGCACACCAGGCGCGTGCTTTGCTGGGTGGTGATCCCAGACAAACAGATGCGGCTCGGCAGGCCGCGGATGTTGCGACCACCCGCACCTGTGCGCCGCCGAGCGGCCGCGACAGCCGCCTCTGCATACGACTCTGCGTCATGCTGAGAGGCTTGGGCCTTTCCCCGCAGAGGCCGCGCCAGGACGCCAGCATCCTGCCCACCGCTGCCTGCCTCGTGCGGCAGCTCCGGCGGCAATGGGGCCATGCCTTCGCCCAGCTCCTGGACGTCCTCAAGGAATCCCCCTACCCAAGCTCCCGCCTGCTGCTGCAGGCGCTGCGCCGCCTCGCCCGAGGATGTGGGTGCTGGTGCGGCGCCGCCTGCGGTGGCGTCAGCTTCGAACCCGCCTTGGTGAGCCACCTCGGCGCTCATCACACCAGGCGCCTGCCGTCCTGGTGCACGCGGGACATTGGTCTAACTGCACAGCAGGCAGAAGGGCAGGGGTTGGAGGCAGGGGGAGCAAGTGGAGGAGGCGGGAGGGAGAAGCGGGAGGGACAAGCGGCGGGAGCGCTGCTGGGCCTGGCAGCGCAACAGCAGCGTGTGTGGCTGCCCGGGCAAGCGCGGCCCGTGCTGGGCCCTGGGAGAGGAGCGGCGGCCAACCCCACGGGGCCAATTTTGATGAAGTCTTCAGGAAGCGCTGATCATGCCGGCCCTTGGCGACAGCCCTTTCCCACCACTCGGCCCGGCGGCGACCAATTGGCGGGCCGGCGCTGCCCAGGCCCAGCAAACCCCGCAGGTCGGCCCGGCCGAAAGCCCTGGCCCCCCAGACAGCCCCAGCGGCGCGGTACCCACCTGCTACTGGTTTCCTGTGCTTCAATTCCGTCTTCCCAGTGCTGCCTGGTTGTCTGGTGCAGGGCTCCCGGAGTTTTGAAGCCGCCGCCGCCCTCAACGCTCTGGTGGCCGCTCGTTTACAAGCAGGGCACCAAGATCACTGCAACTGAGAGGCACGCAGCCGCCAACGTGCGTTTCTGGGCTGAGGTGGCACGCCGCTGCCCCGCGCTGGGCGGGTTGGTGCCAGCGCCGCACATTGTGCAAAGGGAGTTGTATGTTGCACAGGGCGTTTCATTAAGCTGACACTTTTCATGCAGTAGGCAAACTATCAGCTGCATTCTGCGAGGGACACACTGCCGCCAGCGGCACGCGGCGCAGCACCCAGGCTGAAGGGAGCTGCCTAGCTGCCTTAACCGGCATCCCAGAGGCGGCAAGATTTCACGTGTGACATCCAGATCTGTAGTTGTCGTAAGCAGGGTAGAGAGAGGCCACAGGGCTGCCAAGAGGGGGCAATCGCGGCGCCAGACCGTGCCAACTGGGTTGCAACTGGCGCCATGGCGGCATCGCCCCGATCGATTTCTTGAACACCTGCATGTGGTGTGCATACTGCTGCAAGCACCAGCAGCCTGCGTGCGCACGCACTGAGCCATTCTTCCGGGCATCTGCGGCTGGATAACATGCAGGCTGCGGTAGCAGTGACATACACACAGTTGCCATCTGGAAACAGCAGAGCTGCTCCCAGCGGGCCACAGCGGGGGTGCAGCACCGTGCCGGCCGCCGCTACGGCCTCGGCTTACAGGCGGACAGGCAGCGGCGTGGGACGCGTGCAGCGGCCCCAGAGGCAGCCCAGGGCGGCTCAGCGAACCCTGGCAGCCGGGATGGAGGCGGCGCAGGCGTCCAGCAGCGCGGGCGGCGGCGGCGCCGGCGCAACGCCGCGCACCCACCTGTGCACCAGCCTGGTGGCCCCCACTGTGGAAGGCATGCTGGCGGAGGCCCAGGAAGCGGAGCAGAATGGCGCCGACATTGTGGAGCTGCGCCTGGACTACCTGCAGCAGTTTGCGCCGGAGGCCGACCTGTCGCGCCTGCTGCAGGCCTGCCCGCTGCCCGCCATTGTCACCTACCGCCCCACCTGGGAGGGGTGAGCGAGGAGCCGCGGGGCCGGGCATGACCTGCGGGGCACAACCAGCGCAGGCGGCTGCTAGCATACATGTGCTGAAGCCAGCATACGTGTGCAGGGCGTGCGCCACCCACTCTCCCCCTGCCCAGCCTGCGCCCCGGCCCCACCTCACCCCCCTGCCCTCCCTGCGCAGCGGCAAGTACGACGGCCCCGAGCCGCAGCGGCTGGCGGCGCTGCGCCTGGCGGCCCTGAGCGGCGCTGCATACGTGGATGTGGAGCTCAAGGTGGCGCCCGCTTTCTTCGCAGGCACGCAGCCCTGGGCTGGGGGCGCGGTTGGGAGGGCGGGGGCAGGGCAGGAGCGCGGGGGGGCAGGGGCAGGCACGGCGATGAAGCTTGCCTGGCCATGCAGCAGGCGCGGGCGCATGGCCGGGCACGAGCGGCGCCCGCGTGATGCCGGCAGCGCACCTGACCGCTCTGCCGATGCCTGTGCCCACCTGCACACGCCTGCCCGCCTGCCCGCCTGCCCTCCTGTTGAGCGCAGCCAAAGGTGAGGTGCCTGCTGCCACCAAGGTCATCGTGTCATCCCACGACTATGAGCGCACCGCCAGCGAGGAGGAGCTGATGGCGCTGGTGGAGGTGAGAGGGGGCGGCGGCAGGGCGTGTGGGGTGGGGCCCGCATTGCGCTGGCTGTCGGCGGCTGCGGCTGTCGGGTGGTGGTGGGCTGCACGCGCCCTGCCCCGCGGCTCCGATGAGCGCAGCCCACGTCCCGCCCGTCCTGCCCGCCCTGGCGGCCCTCTCTCGTGCCGCAGAGGTGCCACGGCGCGGGCGCCGACATTGTCAAGTTTGCCACCATGGCCAACGACATCACAGGTGGGTGGGGAGGCGGGGGCGGCATCGGGCGGGTGGCGGGCACGCAGCGGTGCAGCACGCAGTAGTGCACGTGCAGTACTGCATGCAGGCAGCGACACAACCAGGCAGGCAGGCAGGCAGGCAGGCAAGCAGCGATGCAGGCAGGCAGGCAGGCAGGCAGGCAGGCAGGCAACCTACCGCCTGAGCTTGTGCCTGCCCCCTCCTGACTGCTTTTTGGCCCCCGCCCCCCTCCCCACTCCCCTGCCCACGCAGACGCCCACCGCGTGCTGTCGGTGCTGCGGCGCTGCCCCGTGCCGTGCATCGCGCTGGCCATGGGCGAGCGCGGCCAGATCAGCCGCCTGCTGGCGCCCAAGTACGGAGGCTTCCTCACCTTTGGCGCCCTCAGCCCGGACCGCGCCTCGGGTGCGGGTGGCCTGCAGGGGCCGGGCGCCGGCCGCCAAGGGCGCGCGCCCTCGTCCCGGGCGCCGCCAGCCGCTCGCGACGCTGTCTTGGGCAGCTTGCCGGGCCGGCCCTCCCGCCACACTTAAGCATCCCTGCCTGCCTAACTTCCCGCGCGCCTGCCCGCCTGCAGCCCCCGGCCAGCCCACCCTGCAGCAGCTGAGCGGCATGTACGGGCTGAAGCAGCAGCGGCGGGACACGGCGGTGCTAGGCATCGTGGGCAACCCCGTCAGCCACAGGTGCGCCCCGGGGGTGTGCGGCTGGCTGGCTGGCTGGGCTGGGCTGGCGAGACGCGTGCGCTCCTGGCATGGGCGGGCCCGGCAGGCCGCTGCGCTCTCGCTGCCGCCCGCTGCACGCCTGCCTCTCCCTCGCCGTGCGTGTGGACCACCCCTCTGTGGACCGCCCTGCCCTGCCTCCCCCACTTGCCCTCCCGCAGCCGCAGCCCCGCCATCCACAACGCGGCGCTGCGCCAGGCGGGCCTCAACGGCGTGTATGTGCCGCTACTGGTGGACGACATGCCGTCCTTCCTGGCCACATTCACAGGTGTGTGTGGGGGGCACACACCGCGCCTGCCTGCCTGCCCGCCCCGCCCTGCTGCCTTGTTTGCCCTGCTTGGTTTGTTTGCCATGGCAGGCAAGGCAGGCAGGCGGGCAGGCGAGGCGGGCGGCTGATGGCGCGTCCCACCATCACCACACCCACACACACCCGCCGCCACCTCGCCCACCGCTATGCCACACCTGTGTGCACACACCCCGACATCCACACCGCCCCCTCCCG